ACCACTACAAAAGCACTGATGAGAAGGAAGGAAGAAAATCATAAAATCAAATTTTGAAAGCAAAATTATACTTACGTGATGTATTCCACTTTTCGGGAAACGACATATGCTCAACTGGGATCAAATCCGAAGTCCTCACTCGGACGAAACGTCCTTACTAGCCTTGATCCCGATCTTCATCAATACTCGAGAATAGGGCTTTGCTGGCCCGGCTCACGAGCTTTATCAGTTCCCCCAGAAGATACGGGGACTGTATAAGCACAAAAGGTGGTCGACGGTGAACGAGCATCCATCGTTCTTGCTCACGAAGAATCAGAGAAGGATCACGATCCTCCATAGTGAAGGGTGAATTTGATCGAGGCATACCTCGTATCTTTTGCAGAAATCGATGATGACCGGATCCAATGGGCCCAGTATAAAGGGATAGGTGTAGACACTTAAGTATCCCTCGATGTGAGCGGTGATGGCTTCATTGGGGTCGGGAACCACTACGTGCTTGTCAACCAAATTGCAATCCTTTTTGACCGTGGGGAAAATATCCTTAGTGATCGAGCAGAGGTACCTCGAGATCTCCTCATACCGACCTTGTACGGAGGAAGGCTTTTCAACCTTAAAATCAACATTGACCGGACACCCTCCGGGGATGAACATTTTTAGAGGAGGTTCTGGTACTGGTTACTCGACGGCAGTACGCGAAGCAGTCCCCTCGGCCTCGGCGACCGACCGCGCGGAGGAAGGAGTTTATTTTTGGGGAACAGTTTTTGAAGTCTTCACCATTTCTTTTAAAAATCGAGGAAAAATGAGGAAAAAGAGGAAGTTAAAGGAATGAACTTGATGACTTGAGATGAAATCTTACAAAAGATCTCAAATAAGCGGGATATAAGTGCCAAAAAATATTGAGATTTCTAAGGTACGAGGGTAGAAGGCTTGGATGTAAAGTTTAAATGAACAAAGGAAGAGGTATTTATAATTTTTCAGCGGCGGTTCACATCCAGGAATGGCCGACCGGCGGCTGACAAGCATTTAATGTCAATAAGACTTGACTAACGAGACGTTTCATTTATTTTGTCGTTTCTGTCACGGGATATCGAAGTAAGAATCGGAAGCTCATGTCATTTCTCGTCGTCTACTCTCCAAAAAGCGAGGGGACTATCTGTATACGACCAAAATCGAGCTCGCCTGCAACATGGTAGATCAGGCTCAAAACGTGGCAATAAAGGGCTGAAGATTGACCCCAAGTCCCACCGGGTTAGAACCCGGGGGCAGAACGCCTGCCTTCGAAGAATATCGAAATCGTAATCCCGGAATCGGTCCTAAGAAACATTGTTAGCATAGCCAACAGAAGACCAAAATATCCGTGACCGGTCGGATATTACGGCGGGAATCACGACACGTATCAATAAGGGATCGTTAATCAGTAAATCAAGAGATTTATTTACCGTTTATAGAATTGTACCTAAAGTAGGACTCCTCTACTATATAAAGAGGGTCTGATAATTCATAAAACATATTGTAACACGCACTAAAAAGCAATATATTATTATTTTTCTCTTTAAGCTCTTATCCATCTGTATCTTAAGACCGATCGAAGTACATCCGGTTCGAAGGTGACTGGTCTTCCAAGATTGAAATTATCCAATTCGTGTGGTTTGAATTTACTTTATCGTTATTTATTTCAATTGCAACTCAATTTATTATTTTGTATCAAGTTAATCGGCATATCCTTAAAACCACTTACAAATTCAATTGTTATCCGATTTTGAGGACAGATAAGTTGACACTGCAATATACATATTAAGTGGAATGTTCTTCATTACTATTTTATTATCCTCTACCATAATAAGTGGTTTACTTTAATTGACTAGTTCGTTGGACAACAAATAAAACTGACATTTAGCTTAATGAATATAGCGAATACAGGGTATAAAGTTTATGGGTTTCTACGGCGACCTCAAATTATATATACAATAATTACTAGGTTCATAATCAAATATTTATAGATATTTAATAAATTTCTTAATACAAATACATAATTTAGACACAAGTTACTAGATTCCCGGAAGGCTTAACTCTTAAGACTAGATCCACCCCTGCCTACAGTCATGTCATGATTGTTATCCAAAAATAATAATAAAATTAAGACAATTAGTGAAGATAAGATGAAGAGAAAGAAAGAAGGCATATTCTTATCTACCAATTAAATAACAACAGCAACTTGAACTCAGCAAGATTTAAAGACAAACAAAGAAGATGCCAACTCAAAAGTTTTCAGCCCCAAACTTGCTAGGATGACAATCAAATGACACTGATATATTCCCCTTAATTGGGAAAATTGGTTAATTTTAATTGGGAAAATTGGTAAGTGTGCATTGCATAATTGTAGGCGGTATCTGGAGTTAAAGAAACTTGACGAAATTAGACTATATGCCAACAATGTAAAGGAGCTAATCCGTGATCCAATTTGCGTTTTCAAGTAAATTGAATTACGTTCAAGTAACAAACTCTCTTTAACCTTTTCCATTTGAGTTAATTAGTTCTAATTGGTTACAATGTGAATATGCTGAAATAACTTTGTCTATATATAATGCATTTGTATCGAAGAGAAGAGTATCAACAACTTAAACAATCCTCTTCATTTAATTTCTCTCTTCTTCTAACTTCCTACTTCTTCTATAATTACTCAATTCCTCAGGTGGTACTGTAAAGTACTAGACTCAGATTTTAGACCTTGGTCCTAGAGGGGTAGGCATAGTCCTCGGCGATAGTACTCTTGTATTAGACGATGAAAAGGTTTTTGTCGATACTACGTACGATTCCCCACGTATTCTTGTTCGATTTTGATCAAAACGAGGATATGCGGCGCATAATAACCTAGACGGCTAGTGATATCAGGACAAATGATGTTTCTAGCCATCCAGGTTAATATGTGTGCAGTTATGGTGATATATATGACTGCATGGTAAGATGCAGACGTACTCGTTTTTTCGAAATCCGATAACCTTACGTGGCATGTAGTATATCGCCAAGCTTATGTCGTCTACTACGGAGCACTATACGCGAGGAAATAAATCTACCACTCTAGGGCCAATCGTCTTAAATCTAAGTCTGTAATTAATTAAGGTAATTGCCTTTTCTTCACATGATCATGGCAAAGAAAAATCACTTCACATATGGCTGAACTTTCGTATTGTACATAAGTTAGTGTTTTTTTGAATGTTACATTGTATACTAACTTACTAAGTATGAACGAATTATAGACTTTCTAATTCTGACTAGGATTTTCCATTTCATTTTCTCCTCGTTTTTTCTTAATACCACGGCGTCTTTTATTTCTTTTCTCTTCTTCTCTTTTTTTATTTCCCTGTTTGCCCTTAATTGTATCTTCTCTTGTAATGGATGAAAATCCAAATTGTTTTTTGATCTTAACTAAAGAAAAGGTAATTGGTCTTTTTTTAGTTTAGTTGTTATTTTATAATATTACCTACAAGTTTTATATTTCTTTCCTGGAAAACAAAAGACCAATCAAACCGTTGTAAAGAAGTGAAGTATTATCACTAAACTATTGAAATGAGCCCTTATAGATATTATACAATAAAATGGGGTCATGGAAACCTTGGTTAAAGTTGATATACTATATATTTGGCAACTTAATTAGGTCCAATTCCAAATGAACATAAAAATGGACCAGTGGTCAACTAATATGTTGTGTGATAATTTTGACTTGGATTTACTAAAACTCTGTTTGTTCGAATAGTGTATATTTCTTGATTTATTTTGTATGGTAACAGCATATTAATATATATGATCACCTTCCCGCTAAACCCAAGTTGAGTTATATATATTATATATATAAAACTTTTAATTCAATTTAGGAGCTGAAGCACGGAACTTCCATAAAGAGGTTGGAAGATTGTGATTTTATCAACAGCAAATTAACGAACATGATTGAAGAGAACTTTGCAAAGATAAATCATAATTACAATAATTTTACATATGTGTATCATCTGGTCCCCCGTAAAACATATAATGCGGAAATTTTTCGGGTCCTCCATGTGGTTCATCAATGACCCGATACAATATTGGATTGTCAAGAAATATGGGTGTTTTTTCTGCATTTATCGTCTCGCCTTTATTATTAAAAACTATAAGTCCCCTACAATAAGCATCGAGTGTAGGATCTGGAACTGCAGGAAAAAAGCCAGTCCCCATTGGAGGATATGGTACACCTGGCGGAGTATATGCCACTCCACCCCACTCAATATTCGTTGCAAAGTCGTTTGCTAATGCTGTAAAAATTCCTGGAGGCCAAAAACCAACAGCTGTCTGATTTTCTCCAACTAAAAGCCACCAGTTTCCGTTTGCTAGATCCTTAATTAGTTTCAGAAAATGAAATATGTTAGCATTTTTAAAACGCTTCAAATTTCTTATATAAGCAATTAGTGAAAAACTTAATAAAGTAGACAAAAAGATACATAAATTTTACCCGATCAATGTACATAAAAATCTCCCATTGTGTATCATCCCCTCGGCGAGAAATATGGTCGAATTCAGAATCAAGATATATGTTACTGTTTACTAATACAAAACCAGGACATAATGTATTGAAGCAATGTGTATTTCCAGCCTAAAAAATATTTAAAAATTCATGAACAATCATTATCTATTGAGGTGAACATTTAAATTGAAAGATACTAGTTTTATGAACAAAAGAAAACTTACTTGGAAATGTATAAAAAACTTAGTATGATTATTCCCATATAATGCTGGATCCACCTAAAACAAGAAATAGAACTGTTATAATTATTAAGGGTTCAATGAGGTATAAAATTAAATCTCCATCTCATCCTCCCATTCAATTTCCCTTTTCTATATCTGTCCTCTAAAATTGAAACTATTGCAAGTAAGAAAATATAACTAAATTATTAAAATAAGGAGTTAAACTTACTCTCCAACCAACTTGCATACTATCCTGTCCTTTTTGAATCTTCAATCGACACGTACTGCTTTGTTGACTTTCAACGGAAGGATTCCATATACTAGCTACCATTGCAGCTCCCGCAAATTTGTTATTTGGATCACTTGGAGTATGAACTATTGCACGCTGAATTCAAAAGATAAAGATTTTCGTTACTGATTACATAGACTATCCAAGTTAACTTTATGTTTATTCACTTGAAATCTTAAGTGGAGCTGAAAAGGAGGAGTCAAATGATAAATCCGCAACCAACTTATTCTTAATGCAAAAATATAACACACAAAAAATGAAGGGAAAAACGATTTAATATCATATTCATGTACCTTGTATCCTCCAGCTGTTTCCTCCAAAATGTGGTTAGTCTGCACAAAACAGTAAAAAAATATGTCAGATTTACACATGAAGTATTTTCTCCTTTTTATAATTGTAGGAAGTCTTAAGTAAAATGAAATAAATAAATATAACATGCATTATCAATTTATCATACATCAACCAAACTGAGCTTCACTTTTATACATTATCTATTCTGTTTTCCAGAAATGAATAATCAAGATAGCTGTAAATTGATGTACATATATAATCTTACATCCTCTAAGTGAGATTCCAATGCGAAATCTTCTGGCGATGGCATACGTCTTTGTCTAATAAGATCATGTTTGGTAACTCTTTTGACGGGAACGGTTCCAGAAAGACAACCTTCATTCTCTGACCATATCTTCGAAGATATATCAACATTTGAAGCACTTGGAATTTGCTTTATCGTTGGTAAAGTAGGTTTCATCTGTCAATCCAAAATTTGTTTTAATTTATTTATGCACAATACTGCATTTGTATAAAGTTGAATACACAAAAAGAAAGCGTAAATACATGCCTCGGGATAAAAATTGTGATTCTTCAATGATGGATGATCAAATACAGGTTGTTCGTAGAAATCCACATAGTCATATGTATCCCCCCATTTAGTCTGTGAAGCAAAAATTTCATAAACTTGTTAGTAATCTTGGTTGCACAATTCAACATCATGCTATGGAAATGTAACTTGTGAATAAATAAAAATGACTTGGAATAAAATGGTTGGTAAATGATAAACAATGCTTCATCTCTCTAGTACTTTATCATATCTAACTTTCAAAATGAATATATATAGGCTTTTGTTGGAGGAGTTATTGTGCCTTAATTTTTCTAGATAAAATGTAACAACAAATTAGTGAACCCGTCAAAATTATAATTTATAAATTTCACGATTTTCAACTACAACATAAAATACGAAAAAATGGTAAATTCAGTTTACCAAACTTAACTCGATTGTTAAATCATCATGGATATATGAGGTGGAAAGGTATTGTCTTCTTTTTAAAATTTAAATACAAAAGTGGTATTCGCATCGAAAATATACAAAAAATACATACCTTAATTGTTTTGACGGCTGTTTTGTTCAAACGTTTAAGTTGCTTCTCCAACGCCAATTCCTCAAGTTTGGACAACTTCGTTTCTCCTTGAACTTTGTCATAATTCAAAAGAAAATATAATACCAGCAAAGTTTGTAGAACATTTCTTTGATGAATCAACATACTCTGTATTCATTAAAATTATTTTTATCAGCGACTGCTAAACACATGTATATATGACAAACTAAAAATAAATGGCCTCTACCAAAATCTAAAGTGATAAAAAATATTTAGACAGAATGAAAAAGACGTGTCAAATAGGCACCTTAAAATCTTGAACAAGCTATATATGAGTTTATGTGTTTTTGTGTATTATTGATGAACTCTTCTATGAATTTATAGAGAAATGATGAGATTTCCAAATGGTAAGTGTGAACCATAAAAAAGAAAGAAGCTTATTTTATGGAATTTATTTGCATTAATATTTAATAATTGGATTTTGATCAAATTAAAATTCAGTAACGGATATGAAGTGAGAGAAGAAGGGGGAGAATTTTTTTAAAATAAAAAAATGGGAAATGTAAATGTGCTATTCTGTAAATTTTCCACTTTAATATCACATTGTAAAATGAAGAGCGTTTCGTGTGTATTATCAAGAATATTCCATATTCCTATTGTGCAAATCCTCCACTTTAATGCGCTATTTTCTTAATTAGTCTAAATATATTCACATCTTCTTCTTAATGTACATATTAGTATTTCCTTATATGTTTTCTTTGCTGATTCTTTATTTCCTTTAATTGTCAATTTCCTCTTTTATGTATTAATGACTACCTTTATATGTCAACTTTAAATTAAACTGTTGATATATAGTGGTCGTAGAATAAATTTAAGGGAGAACAGGTAAGGAAGAAATTATGCAAGACAATCCATTACCAAAAATCCTTCTACAGAAAGTTTATGAATTTCAAACTGGAAAATCCGATTCGATTACCCAATTATTAACCTAAAAAGAGAAAGGAAAACTCCAAAAGGAAAATCACTTGTAGCTAACATAAGATTTGAGATCAATGTTAATTATGAGTGACAACAAAATATGGATTACATATATAATTAAAAAAAATTATCTTCATGTCTTTTGTTGTTTTCATAAAATTTTTGAAGATGGTAGACACTTCTTTCTATGGATTATTTGCCCCTTTTTAGGCGACTCTTTAATTTTTTTAATTTCCGTTAGTCAATGGGATAGAATTTTGCTTTTAAAAGTAACTGGATTAATCTTTTTTCTCCTTAGCAGAAAAACATTAGTCCATTAGACTAAGGGAATAACGCGGGACAGAATTTAAAACGTAGTACAATAGTTAGCCATTTTAGCTCCTACTACACCTCTCTCAGTTTCCGAAATCTATAATGCAATAAAATCATTTAAACCATTAAAGGCACCAGGGCCCGATGACATTCACCCAATTTTCTTCGAGAAATATTGGTCAGACACAAACTCATTCAAAAGCTTTTACTATAGCAATTCCACATGAAATAAATAGGACTTTTGTAATGCTTATTCGTAAAGTTAAGCACCCACAAAATATATTTCAATATCGACCCATCAGCCTATGTAACACCATCTACAAGACTATTACAAAGGTCATTGTAAACCGTATGTGCACTTTCCTCAACAAAATTATTAGTCCTAACCAGTGCAACTTTATTCTAAGCAAGAGATCAATTGAGAACGCAATAATTGTCCAAGAAGCAATCCATTTTTTCAGGAACTGCACTGGGAGAACTGGGAAGATGATGCTCAAGTTTGATCTTGAAAAGGCTTTTGACAGACTTGAATGGTCATTCGTTAGGACTTAGAAGTTCCTTACATGCACTAAATTTCCCACAAGACCTAATAACACTCATCATGAATTGCGTATCTACCACAACAACATCAATCATTGCAAATGGCAAACTTATAAATTTCTTTGAGCCATCAAGAGATATTCGACAAGGTGATCCACTTTCTCCGTACCTCTTCATCATCTGTATGCAATCCCTAACAAGATACATTGATTATGAGGTAGATGTCTTGAACCGGAAACCCATCAAACTAAGCCAGAATGGTCCCGCAATTTCACACCTCCTATTTGCAGACGACCTTATTCTCTTTTCAGAGGCAGACAATACTAGTGCAACTTCTATCATAAATATATTCAACTTCATATCACGCAAATCTAGCGAGAGAATTAATTTTTCAAAGTCAAAAGTACTCTTTTCCTCAAATGTGTCGTCCACCATAAATAGACCTGGCTACCACCCTAAACATTAGGATAAAAAATAATGTGGGAAAATATCTGAGCTTCCCAATTACAAATCTACAGCCAAAAAGCTCGGTCTACCAATTCATACCTGAGAGGATGAACACTAGACTAAAAGGATGAAAGGCCAAACTCTTAACATTATCTAGGAGATTAACCCTTATACAATCAACTCTATCAGTCATCCCCACCCACTTCATGCAACTGAATCTCCTTCCAGCTAAGACTAAAAATAATATTGACCGCATTCAGAGAAACTTCCTATGGGGCTCTACCAGAGACCACAGGAAAATCCACCATATCAATTGCAACAAGGAACATCGTATAAGTAAGAAGGAGGTCTTAGGCTATACAAAGCAAAAGAAAAAAATGTAGCACTCCTCTCAAGCCTACTATGGAGATAACTTTGCAATCCTGAGTCTCTTTGGGCTCAAGTGATAAAGGGTAAATACCTAAGCAACTCATGAAGGAATATTATCAGTTATAAAAATAATGACTCCTTACATCTGAAAAAGCAGTACAAAAGCTTATTTATTATTCTCCAAATGACTAGCTTGGAATGTGGTAAACGGATGGCATATAAGCATTTGGGAAGACAGATGGATTGTTAGCAAACAGGGAATTAATAGAAGGACCCCTAACTAAAGAAGGTATCAATACAAATTTGAGCTCCTATAATAATAATAAAAATTAAAACTTAGAAGCTATATCATACGATCTACCAACTACAATTACTGACCTTATAATACAATCATACATTTCATTCTCTAACAACATAAGTGACTCATTCTTCTAGAAAGAAACAGAAGATAAGAACTTTACAATAAAATCGTCATATAACATCTTTGTTAGGCTCACATAAACAAATCATAATCAGGAATCCTTTAACCATTGCTGGATCTGGAAAGCACCATGCCACAACAAGCTCAAAATTTTTTTGTGGCTGCTAGTCCTCCAAGAACTCCCCGCTACAGCGGTCATGAGCCAAAGAAAAATAATTTACTCTAATAACTGCAAGCACTGTGGGTGTAAGGCCCCGTAAATATTTTCTTATCTAAAACTCGGGGTTTCGTGGTGCTGAAGTAAACTTATGTATTGACGTTTTTAGAGTTTTTGGGTTGAACAGTGCGTCGGGAGTTGAAGAAAAGTTTTAGAAGTGCAGGTCATTTTCTGCGGTTGCAGAACTGATCTGCGGACCGCAGATCTACCGCAGACTGAAGTAGAAATCTAGAAAACTTTTTGAGCCATTATGCGGCCGCATAATTATTTTGCGGGCTGTATAACCCATCGCAGACCCAACATAAATAATTCTGGAGGGCAGTTCTGCAGCGCATTATGCGACCACAGAATAGGTTTGCGGACCGCACACCGGTTGTAGAGTGAGGCAGAGGTGCCCAGTTAAGGAGGACAATAATGCGGTCCATTTTGCGGACCGCAGAAGCGTTATGCGGTCGCAGATCTGTGTCGGGGCTTTATTTTTTTAATATTTTTTACCCGACCCTATTTTGATTAAAAGCCCTTGGGGCTCATTTTGAAGGCAGAAATATGATATTTTAGAGAGAAGGGGGAGTGTTCTAGAGAAAGAAGGAGGAAACCCTAGGCTAATTGTTCGTCAATTCTTGCTCAAGACTTGGAGAATTCACAAGGAAAACTCATAAGTTTTTCATACAAGGGGTAAGGTTCTAACCCTAGTCTTCAATTTCGAGTTTAGGTAGAAGATGGGTAATTGGAAGTATGATATTTGGGTATGAGAGTTATTTATTTATGCATGTAGCTATGAGGATGACAGGGAGGTAATTGAACTAGTATGAGTAAACTCTTGGTATTGAATTAGTTGTGGAGTGAAGAAAATCTTGTGGAAGAACCTTGTAATCAAATTCGCACACCTAGTGTTTGATAAAATGCTCAAATGAGCTGAAACCATGAATATCTTCCTAATCTGTGTTCAATTTTGCTATGTCTCTAAATATATTGAAATTGCTAGGATTTTCAGAACTGTGTAGTGAATTAAAGAAATCTCAAATCGAGGTATGAAGGCTAAAATCTTCTTCTAGTATCGGAATTCCAGAATCCT